GATGTGAAAGACCGTGGAGGGTTGCTGTCAAAGTACTGAGCATGTATCCTTCATGTGGCATGTTTTAATAAAAGGTAAAGAGGTGGGGGGCAGAGAGACCAAGCTAGGAAAGTGGCCCTACCTGAGGGTAGCATTGCCAGCCCCGGGTTGGGAAATACCTGGAGGTTTGGTGGGTGGAGCCTGAGGAGGGTGGGGCTTGGGGGGAGGAGGTATAATGCATTACAGGCTACCTTCCAAAACAACAAACACATGGGAAACACGGCAAGGTCGAGCAAACGTAGAAAAACACCGTGATAGAACAAAAAATACAATACTATTATGCTACTATATCTTCATGTATTGATATAAATAATATTCTTGATTACAATAGAGAACCCACTGTACCTTATTCGTTACACTACAAAACCTAAAGAACATTATATATCTAGTAGAAAAGTCCACAGATACAAAGACAGGTTTCAGTGCTGTAGACTATCTTGCTTCTGATGAGAGACTGATGAGAGATGCAGCAATCATCAATGATGAAAGATGCAGCGGGCTGCTTTGCTTTCCAAAAAGAGATACAGCAAGCATCAAAGCGACACGCCTCCCAGGCAAAAATTGTGTGTTTTGAGAGAGTCTTCTTCAGGCAAAATTATTTTTCCTGGAACCAAAGCTCACAGTGCTACAATGCACAAGTCAACAATTCTACAGAGGGCGGTGAAACAGAACGCTGGACTGGATTGAGCACTGGTGTGATCCAGCTAAGCAGGGCACCTCTTCTTTTTTTATTACATATGTTCTTACATATGTTTCTACAAGGAGATTAGGGCTGTATACATGGTTTCTGCACTGACCTGGATAGCCCAGGATAGGCAGGATCTCAGAAGCTAAACAGTGTCGGCCCTGGTTAGTATTTGGATGGGAGACTATCAAAGAACACCTGGGTCACTGCACAGAGGCAGCAAATAGCAAACCACCGCTGGGGTCTGAACTGGCAGAGACTGAGCAAGAGAGAGATCTTGGAGTTGTAGTGGATAACTCACTGAAAATGTCGAGACAGTGTGTGACTGCAATAAAGAAGGCCAATGCTATGCTGGGGATTATTAGGAAGGGTATTGAAAACAGATCAGCCAATATAATAATGCCCCTATATAAATCAATGGTAAGACCTCATTTGGAATACTGTGTGCAGTTCTGGGCACCACACCTTAAAAAGGATATTATAGCTTTGGAAAAAGTGCAGAAAAGGGCAACTCGAATGATAAAAGGAACACTTTCCCTATGAGGAAAGGTTAAAGCGCTTAGGGCTCTTTAGCGTGGAGAAAAGATGACTGAGGGGTGACATGATCAAGGTTTATAAGATTATGCATGGGAAAGAGCAGGTAAAGAAAGAGGTACTTTTCTCCCTTTCTCACAATACAAGAACTCGTGGACACTCCATGAAACTGCAGAGCGGTCGGGTTAGAACGGATAAAAGGAAGTACTTCTTCACCCAAAGAGTGATTAACACATGGAATTCACTGCCACAGGAAGTGGTGGGTGCTACAAGCATGGACGGCTTCAAAAGGGAATTAGATAAGCATATGAAGTAGAGGTCCATCAGTGGCTATTAGCCACAAGGTATAGCTAGGGGCTCTGGGGCAAGTGATGCTCTGTCTTCTTGGTGCTTGGGGGGGGGTCAACAGTGGGAGGGCTTCTAATGTCCTGGCCCCACTGCTGGACCTCCTGATGGCACTGGTATTTCTGGCCACTGTGTGACACAGAGTGTTGGACTGGATGGGCCTTTGGCCTGATCCAACATTGGCGTCTCTTATGTTCTTATGTTCTTATGAATATCTCTTGCCTTGAAAACCCTATGGTGTCACCTTAAGTCAGTCATAAGTTGACAGCAGAAAAAAAGTTTCTCCCCCTTTCTGCTTTGGCCTAACAACAACCCCGAGTATTGTGAAGTTCAGCTGGTTATTCCTCCCTTCCCTGGTGGCTGCTGTTAGTTTGTTTTAAAAATGCAGGAGATCAGCTTATGGGTCTCCTACCATAATGGTCTACCATTAGGAAACAAAGGGAGAAAAATGAAACTAATTCTTCTGGAAGCAGTCTGAGAATTCCCAGACAAAAATCTTTTAGGGATTCAAGATGTTGTTGGATGATGAAATAAAAATTACATCAAAGAGAATGATTAGCATTTTTTTTAATCGTCCTTAACTTGGTTGTTGTTTTTTCGTTTTTTCTGGAGAGCAATAATATTGACCCCTCTGTCCTTACATAGGCCCAACATGACTATAACATGTGTCTCCACATTAATATATCCATCCACACGGTCAGAGCCATAATAAAGAAGAGTTTAAAAGGTTTCTTCACCAAAGCTCTAAGGCAGATGATAACAGTTTTAAATGCCTCGAGTCAAACAGACAAATAACACAGTTCAAAGAAAATCTGTCAGGTCTTGAAAACTGGAGTTGTGCTATGATAAGATTATATATAGTGAGTGAACCAACCAGAAATACAGAACTGTGTTGTTATGGGCGCTTTCACATTTACTAAATAATGCAGTTTCAATTCACTTCAGTGACTGCAAGTGGATCTTGCCATTTTACACAGTAAAATCCAGTTGCAAAGTGCATTTAAAGTAGATTAAAAGCTCATTATTTAGTGTGTGTGAAAGCACCATTCTGTTTTCGACTTCATTGTGGAAATACAAACAAACCCTTTTCTCCCTCTCTCAAAACACTAGAATTTGAGGGCATCCAATAAAGCTGATGGGCAGTAGGTTCAGGATGGACAAAATGAAATACTTCTTTACATGTCAAGTGATTAAAATGTGGAATTCACTGCCAGAGGATGCAGTGATGGCCACAGGCATAGACAGCTTTTAAAAGGGGATTAGACGGGTTCATGGAGGATAGGTCTATCAGTGGATGCAAGTCATGGTGACTAAAGGGAACCTCAGTGTTCAGAGATAGTCAGCTTCTGAATCCCAGTGCTAGGAGCAGGGGTCATTTTGTAGAAAAAGAGGTGCAGGAGCTCATTAGCATAACTCATTAGCATACCTTATTTGCATATGCCACACTCCCTGACATCACCGGAAGTGTGTCAGAAGGCAACACCCACCGCTCAGACTCCACTGGACTGTTTTGGATTGCTAGCTATTGGGGGGTTAGGAAGGAAGGAAGGAAGGAAGGAAGGAAGGAAGGAAGGAAGGAAGGAAGGAAGGAGGGAAGGAAGGGAGGGGGGAAAGAGAGGGAACGCAACTTACTTGGCTGCTTCTCACTGGGAGAAGGGGGTGGGGCTTGCATGTGCCCGCCCCCTGGGCTCTTTACTGCCGGAGCTCCGCTCCTGTGCGCTCCTGCAGGAAATAACCCTTGGCTAGGAGGCAACAGGAGGGAGAAGTGTTGGTCTCTGTGCCCTGTTGTTGGACTTCCAGAGGAACTGGTTGGCCACTATGTGAGAGAGGATCATAGAATCATGGGATGCTGGGTTAGATGGACCAGTGGTCTGGTCCAGCAGGGCTTTTATGTTTTTATGCTCATAATATATTATGCCATTTTAAAAAAGGAAGTTTCTAGCCCTCATGACTGTGAAGGAAGCTTGGAAATAGTGATCAAGATCTGGCAACTGAGCCGGTATTACCAATATCCAGTGGGTGGGATTTCTTTGCCCTGCCTCATTAACTAGCTTTCTCCAACAGCTATTACTTCCATCACACAACGCACAACATTTTAAAGCATTTTTTTTTTGCAGGCCCCAGGTCTGGAAGTCTACTTTAACACCTAAGTTGACTAGGGCTGTGGTCACACGGAACATCAGCCACGCTAGAGAGACGGAAGACAGGCGGATTTTCCGGGCGCAATCTCACCAGCACATCTGGGAAGCGTAGCGCTCCCATGGCTCAACCGAAGCTTCCCGCCAAAGACGCGCGGCAAAAAAACTAGTACCTTGGAGGTACTAGTTTCCGGAAACCGCGGGGCAAGGGCGGGCGTCTGATTGCATTTCCGGTGGCATCCGGCGCCCGCCCATGTCCCCTTGCAAAAAAGTTTCCCCCCCCCCAAGTCTCCATGGATGCGCACAAGCACCCAACGGAGCATGCACATTTTTAGTGTACACGGAAAAAAAACCAGTTTGCCGCACCGCGCCGCTTCTTTGTTGCGCGCAGGACCATCCTGTGATTGGCACCTCTCCCTACCCACGGGTCCTCCACAGGACCTCCACGGGAGGTCTGATCACTTAACCCTGCGTTTGTTTTCCCCGGGGCAAACTAGTTCCCCCCCCCCCCCGCATTTTCCTGCCCGTGTGACTGGAGCCTAGAATTATAATTTTTTAAAAAAAGTTTTCTTCCATTGTCCATTAACATTCCACAAGGTTAGTTAGTTTGTTGCAGCAAAAGAGAAAAAAAGAGTTTTCTGATACGTTGAAGACTATGAGGTTTATTGTGGATCAAGCTTTTGTAGAACCCACCTCATCAGATGCATGGCATAATGGCTTTCAATGGTATATGTGTAAACACAAACACATTCATATATTCTATAGATTTTATACATACATATATAT